TCTGCCTCGGCCCCCCACCACCATGGCTTTGTCCAGAAGGATGTCCGGTCTAATTAGCATATTACCCTTTTATTAGTATAGATTAGCCACAGTTCATCTCCCCACTACTACCCTAGTTGAAGCCACTCTTCAAATCTAAATCAGTTACTTACAATTCCCTACTTTGACTCATTTACCCCATCCCATAATAGTTTCTGCACAGTAGGCAACCTAGCCTTTTTAAAACAGAAACTGGATTATACCATTTCCCTATTTAAAATTCTCCAATTGCTCTGACCACTTGCAAAATAAATTAGATTTTATTCTGTTGTCTTTACCCATCTGACCTCATGTCCTCTCACTTTCCCACTTTTATGCTATACTCATCCCTAGGTTTGTTGCTGTTACCCTAGAAAAGCTAAACTTGGTTCTAGTGCAAGATTTGTATACTTGATTCAGCCTGGAATGCTCTTCTCCTTAAGTGAAGTATGACTGTCTCCCTTTTGTTTATTAGGTCTTAGCCTAAAGGTCAACTTAAAATATTCATGCCACTTCACTTTCTTAAAGGCAGTTTTCATTCTTAGAAAATAGGATTTTCTACCATATTTCCAACTAGAAACTAGGTCCAGGACCATATATTCACTGCCTTAAGTCCTGGGCCTATAAAGGTCATTGCACATAGTGAAAAGTACAATAAACATTTATTTTTAAAAGTCTATGAAGGCCCTGGCTGGTGTGGCTCAGTTGGGCATCTTTCTGTGCACCAAAACATTGTGGATTCCATTCCCAGTCAGGGCACATGCCTAGGTTGTGGGCTCAATCTCCAGTAGAGGGCAAGTAGGAGGCAGCCAACAATTGATGTTATGATCTCACATGGATGTTTTTCCCTCTCCTTTCCTGTCTAAAAATCAAAATCAGTAAACTGCTCTTTAAAAAAAATAATAAGAAATATGCTCAGGCCCTAGCTGGTTTAGCTTGGTGGATAGAGCGTCAGCCTGTGGACTGAAGGGTTCCAGGTTCTATTTTGGTCAGGGGCATGTACCTTGGTTGTGGGCACATCCCCAATGGGGGATGTACAGGAGGCAGCTGATCGATGTTTCTCTCTCATCGATGTTTCTAACTATCTCCCTCTCTGTAAAAAATCAATAAAATATATTTTTTTAAAAATATGCTCAGCTGGCGTGGTTCAGTGGTTGAACACTGACCTATGAACCAGTTCAATGCCTGGGTTGTGGGCTTGATGCCGAGTTTGGATCGTGCAGGAGGCAGCCGATCAATGATTCTCTCTCATCATTGATGCTTTCTCTCTTCCCTTCCTCTCTGAAATCAATAAAAATATATTTTAAAAAATAATAAAAAAGAAAAATTCTGAAGGTTTAGTGAGATGGTGATAATTAGCTTTTTTAAATGTAAAATCAAGATGGAACAAAAAAAGTTCATGATAATGTCTTAAAAACGTACGTTACCTCAAGCACATAAAACATTATTTTAAAAAGTAAAAATAAATTAAGCACTAAACTGTTTTCCTATGATATACTTTTATCTTTCAAAAGGTATATATTAAAATAAACTTTACTGATGATTCTTACTATTTAAAGGTATTAATCTACATTTTCTTCAGGAGCTAAATAATCAAAACCCTTTAAGATTCCTGGTGATGGCAGAAGAAAGGGTAGTGATGTGAATGCGATTTGAAGAATTAGAGATAACTGTAGGATTCATACCCTCCAGTATATATTGAAGTGATACAATAAGTCAATGAGGATAAGGCAAATATAAATTAGTTATTATATGTCTACGTTCATGAATAACAATTATTCTACCCTACATCAAAACACCTATTGTAAGATGAGGTCTATATACAGTCCAGAAAAGTATCTCAATTCCACTTTCCTCCATATTGAGGAGGCATCCTGACAGAGCTGATATCCTGAACCTCTTCAGCTATGTACAGCTCCAAGGGGAAATAAGAGTGTCCTCAAAGAGGCAAGGCAGCAATTTTCTCATCAACAGTTGTACACTTCAACATGTTTCAGAAAAGCTTAGAATCTGGATAGTGAACTGAAAGAACTAAATACATACAATCATGTACTTCTGTTTTAAATTATCTTTCACATATGTCTAGACCTTTTTGGAAGCAATATAATTTAAACCATACCATAGCCAGAGCTTACTCTTCTTTAAGGCACTGTAACAGTGGACTGAAGCCTAGACTGTAGATAAGTCTGATTTCAGTTACCCAGCTCACCCACATATGAGCTGTGTGACTCTGGTAAGTGATTTAACGAGTACCCACTTCACAGAATTGTGAGAGATAAACCAATTAAGTGTAATGTGATTAGAATAGCACCTGGTCATCTAGGTATGGCTGTTATTAAATACTTCACTAAAATGTAAAAACTTTCTGAAAACCAAATTGACACAACCAGACAAGTAAAGGGGTTTATCTGGGGATTGCTGGTACTAGAAAAATGGCAATGTTAAATGAATCTCCTTAAAACTGTCATTAAAATCTGTGGATAATCTATTAACTTTTTCAAGTAATCTCACATTTGTGATGAAATCTGAAGGATTACATGGAACTATATGGTAAGACTCTATCCAAGAGCTCAGTTTTATTCACAACTCATCACAGATATTCTCTGCTTTTATTTGTCAAACTAGAGGCCCGGTACATGAACTTTGTGCACGGGTAGGGTCCCTAGGCCTGGCCAGCGATCAGGGTCGATCGGGGCCTGCCTTTCCCCGGCTGCCTGCTTCCGTTGTTCTGCGCTGCCCTCTGGTGGTCAGCACACGTCATAGCGAGCGGGTGAACTCCCCCTTCAGTTTATTTGATATACTTATAGCTTGGTAAAAAACTAATAATTTGCCGAAACCGGTTTGGCTCAGTGGATAGAGCGTCGGACTGCGGACTGAAGGGTCCCGGGTTCGATTCCGGTCAAGGGCATGTACCTGGGTTGCGGGCACATCCCCAGTGGGAGATGTGCAGGAGGTGGCTGATTGATGTTTCTCTCTCATCGGCTGATTGATGTTTCTCTCTCATCGATGTTTCTAACTCTCTCTCTCTCCCTTCCTCTCTGTAAAAAAACAATAAAATATATTTTTAAAAAAAACAAAAAAAAAACTAATAATTTACCTGATAAAAAAATAAATGACTGGAAATAATCTAAGTGTTTCACACTAAGGAAATAATTAAGTAAATTATGATATGTCTACTTGACTATTATACAGCCACTAGAGGCCTGGTGCATGAAATTAGTGCAGGGTAGGGTCCCTAGGCCTGGCCTCCCTACCGCCTCCTTCCCTCGCTCCCTCAGCGCCCCACCGCCGCCGCCGCTGGTTGCCCAACATGTTTGTCCAACATGCACCCCCCCCCGGTGGTCAGCGCACATCATAGTGAGCGACCAAACTCCTGCTCTCCTGGTTGAACTCCCGAGCAGATAATTTGCATATTAGTCTTATATATACATAGATTAGAAATACTTCTGAAGAATTTTTAGTAAAATACAAAAACTTTCATAACACATAAGTGCAAATTACAAAACTATATCCACATGATCAAACTTTAGTTTTAAAAACTAGACTATTTTAACTGTTTGCCAAACTTTTATTTGTGCCACCTTCCAGATTTTTGACATATTCAGACATTTACATGAACTATAAGTTATGAGTTTCCTTTAAATTGACTTAAAAACTTTTAAGTTAATTCATTATATTTCATGAATATGAAATACTGAACTATTAGACTGTTACAATTATTTTATGTACCACTAAGAAAAAAAATGCTACTAGATAAACTGTGATATGATACCAATTTTAAATACATTCCAATATGGGCAAGATAAAAGTGAAAAAAGTGTATCTAGGAAGCAGTAAAATATGGTAACTTCTTTAACCTTGATATCCATGAAATACTGGTTTGATTGGTGCAGTATAAATTTTTTAATACATGTTAAATAAACACAGTTACTAGAGTAAAAATATAAAGTTTATATTCACATACTACATACTTTATGGATAATTCACCTACATGTATGACCAATTACATAATATTTTCATATCAGCTATATAAATACAGCTACTTTATAAAGAGTACCTATTTATCCCTAGCTGCTTTGGCTCAGTGGATAGAACGTCGGCTTGTGGACTGAAGGGTCTCAGGTTCGATTCTCGTCCAGGGCACATGCCCCGGTTGTGGGCTTGATTCCCAATAGGGGGTATACAGGAGACAGCGGATCAATGATTCTCGCTTCTCATTGATGTTTCTCTCTCTCCCTCTCCCTTCCTCTCTGAAATCAATTTAAAAAAAAAAAGAGTACCTATTTATAGAGCTTTTTTATGTGTGTGTATTTATATATGGAGTTGGAAAAGCAGGGAATGGCTTCTTAACAGTGTACTCAAAATTTCCCTGGAAAATCTCTATAATTATTACATCAAGCATATGTGCGTTTATAAATATAACCTGGTATGGTAAGGTTTAAGAAATCCTGAACTAGACTGCAGGAAGAAACAAGAGGAAAATACACATGCAGAGGTCTGAGCAATCAAGCTCCTGCTAACTTGTGGAGTTTATGCCATACTGTTTAATACTTAACCATTATAACTTTAATATGAATGAGCAATCAAGCTCCTGCTAACTTGTGGAGTTTATGCCATACTGTTTAATACTTAACCATTATAACTTTAATATGAAAGAGTAATTTGTTTGAAATTGTAAAAATTAAATGAGATAGTGGGCAACCCATCTTACTTGCTGATTAGATTCTAAACATAGCCTGGGGAGGGAGGTGAGACAGATAAATAAAAATCAGAAAGCACACGTATTTCCTTTGATTTAATTTTGTATATTCAATATGAAAGTAACATTTTTATTAAATTTTGGATTTTAAGAAAAATTTATTGAAAATATAGATTGAAGAGATTCTCTTCATAGAAAAAAATAGTAAACTATCTGAAAGCTATTACATGATGTGAGATATTCTTTGAATATCATTTCTATTCCTTGGAAGAACTGGCTACTGGGTCAGCACATGCCAGTTTTTAATAGGCCACAGTGTAACTCTACAATCACATTAAATTTCAGTAGTCATCTACAACAGCACATTCTCACATTCTGCTTATGAAATGTAAATGCTCACCTTTAAAATATTTCACAGTTTTAACTCTTAATTCTAAGGTAGCATCTTCATCACACACAAAAATAGTTCGGGGGTGCTGCTGGAAAGCTGAAACAGTCCACATGTGATTGACTCCTTCCTCTATTGCTTTGTAGAGAGCAAATGCCTTGTGGGCGCCTGTTATGAGGATCATGACCTGAAAAATCATGAACATTACTGTTAATTCTTAAAATATCCCACATGACTGAGAGGCTCTATTTTTCTTTTTAAACAAAGACTTTAGCACCAATATTCTTCGGAGGGTAAAATAAAAATAAACAGCTCCATATTTCTTCATAGTACAAGGTACTTCTATAAAGTAACAGGCAAGCACAAAGTATATCTCCTGGTAAAATAACATCTTGTTATAAAATATTATTGAATATATCTTAATGCCTATGATTATTAACATTAAATACTGATGAGCATATAAGGCTTATGTGCAGAAAATCTGGAAGAAAACAAAAGGGCTGTTTTACAAAAGCAGAATTACAGGTCAACGAAGAATTGATATAACCAGGAATGATATACCAAATTGTTCTAGTCCAGATAAGCAATAAATATTACTTTGAAAAACTAATCTAGAGCAAGAAGCCTGAAGACTGTTTCATTGTACATGTGCTATCTAAAGGTGTCTTGAAAGAAAACCAGGTTTAAAGTCAGAGAAAGACAAGTACCATGTGATTTCACTCATATGTGGAATCTAATGAACAAAATGAACTAAAAAGCAAGTTACAGACAAACTCATAGATAAAAGAGGCTGACAGCTGTTGGGGGCCAGGGGATGCTGGGGAGGGAGTTGAGTAGGGAGGGTGGAGGGATAGAGCCAAAGAAGAGAAAAATATTCATGGGCATGAATAACAGTGTAGTGACTGCCAGGGGGGAAGGAGGGTAGGAAAGGTGGAAGAGGGTAGAGGGAGGATAAATGGGGATGGAAGGAGACTGGACTGGGGGTGGTGAATACACAATGCAGTGTATAGATGATGTGTTGTAGAATTGTGCACCTGAAACCTGTATAATTTTGTTAACCAGTGTCACCCCCATAAATTCAATAAAAAGGAAAAAGAATTTAGTTGAATTCCAAATATGGCAATGAGACTGACAGAAGTTATTGAATGCTAGATAACAGTAAAAATGTGGACAGAATGCAACCAAAATATCACTAAATTGACACCATAATTCCTTCAGTATCTATTGATATCAAAGAAAAAAACATTAAAGAACGTTTAATTCTTACCTCTCTAGCATCCATCACTGTCCCCACACCAACTGTTAGAGCCATAGTTGGCACCTTTGATAAATCTCCATCAAAATATTTAGCATTTGCCAATATGGTGTCCATTGCTAGGGTCTTTAATCTTGTCCTTGATACTAAACTGGATCCTGGCTCATTGAAAGCGATATGACCATCTGGACCAATTCCTTTCAAAAGAAATACACACAGACACACACATAAAGATAAGTAAATAAGGCTCTCAAAATTAAAAAGCCTTTAAAACCAAGAAACAGTTATAATCACACCTACCTTGTTTATTTGATAGCTGAATTTCTAATGCTGCATTAAAATATTTGTTCCTGTATTTGATTCAAAAACTTTAAATGTTTTTCATATGCTTAGCAATAAACTAGCATGATTCCAATAACAGTAAAATTAAGTATCCTATATAATAGAGGTAATATGCAAATTGACCCTCATGCCCTTGCGTCATCAAAAGATGGCTGCCCCCACATCATCACAACATGGCTGCCTCCATGTTGTCACAACATGGCCGGCAGGGGAAGGCAGGGGGGGGCGACCAGGCCTGCAGGGGAGGGCAGTTGGGGGTGATCGGGCTGGCAGGGGAGCAGTTAGGTGTCAATCAGGCCGGCAGGGGAGCAGTTAGGGGGTGATCAGGATGACAAGCAGAAGCGGTTAGGGGCAATCAGGCAGGCAGGCAGGCGAGCAGTTAGGAGCCAACAGTCCTGGATAGTGAGAGGGATGTCCGACTGCTGGGATTGGGCCTAAACCGGCAGTCGGACATCCCCCGAGGGGTCCCAGATTGAAGAGGGTGCAGGCTGGGCTGAGGGACACCCCCCCCCCAGTGCACAAATTTCGTGCACAGGGCCTCTAGTCTATATATAAAAGCATAATATGCAAATTGACTGGACAGCAGAACGACCGGTTGGCTATGACACGCACTGACCATCGGGGCAGGTGCTCAACGCAGGAGCTGCCCTCAGCCCACAGGCCCCAATCGCCCAATGGGGAATGGGGAACTGAGGATGGGTGGTGGTGGATGCGGGCAGCGCCAGAGCCCCCATCACCCTGCCGAATCAGGTCTAAACCAGCAGTCGGACATCCCTCTCCCAATCCAGGACCACTGGCTCCTAACTGCTCGCCTGCCTCCCTGATCACCCCCAACCCCTCTGCCTGCCTGCCTGATCGCCCCTAACAGCCTCTGCCTCGGCCCCCACAGCTTGGTCCAGAAGGACGTCCGGAATGACGTCTGGAAGGTTGTTTGGCTGTCCTGTCTAATTAGCATATTATGCTTTTATTATTATAGATAACAATATTTATAAAGTACTTCACGTGCATAATCTCAACAACATATATTTAATAATTATGTGAGACAGATTAGGCATACCTATTTCCCTCATCTCTCTACCTTTTTTTAAGCTCAAAAGGAAACTCAAAAGGAAATGCTGAAGGATAATATATGACCTATTCAAAGTAACAATTTAGTAACTAATGAGAAGATTCAAATCTAAATGTTCTGATTCCTACCCAAGTGGTCTTTATACTCATACTTTAACTTGTTTGGTTCTAGTCTAGATGGGGCAATTAACTCCACCTTCTCCTCTCTGTAGTATAGTTTCCTCACTTACAAAAGTTCTAGACCAGACAAGATATTATCTAGGGCAGTTTTCCTCAAACTTTTTATTACTGTAACCTCTTGTAAGACATAATCCGATGCTGTAATCTAGTACACAGATACACAATACACACATAAATATAACTAAAACAAAAACTGCATGAAACAATACCCTTCCTAGGAGCCATACAAGTTACTTTGGATAACATTCCATTTCTTTCACAAAACACAACAGGGAAATACTACATGTGACTGACTATACTGCTTTCATGACTTAATAGTGGGTGACAACCACAACTTGAAAATACTGTTTCAAGGAGATCTACTGCCAGCTCTAATTCTAGGATTGTCTCTAAAATTTAGGGAAAAATGACATTCCTTATTTAAAGAAAATTGGAAGTATATCTGTTTATAAAATCAAGAATATTTCTATGAAATAATAAATCAATTTTCATTTACATGTACTAGTCAGATTTCTGGCATCCTCAATCAAAAATTAAACCCACCAGTTCTCTGAGCCAAAATATCCGTTACATTTATAATCTGCACACTTAATGATAGATATGAGTGTTTTACTGACTTTTAACACACAATTCTGACAAAGTAAAATATGACAAAGAATAACCTGGTTTTGAAGGAAGAAAAAAGAAATGAAAACCTTGGAAAGCACATGATACTACTACCAAAGCATAAAGTAGGAATTTTTAATGTGGAGAAATAAAGGCAGACCTACATGAGGTTAATATGTATGGACTGTTTTCACTAATAAGTACGTATCTGCTTTTAAACACAAGTTTTAAATTATAGATACACATGTCTCTCTAGATTGTAAAACTGTTCTGTTTCATCTCTTAAGTATACATCTGCCCAAATATTTATATTTCTCTAAATATGTATAAAGTGGAAAGGATGGAACCAAGAAAATAAGAAGTTCCAGGAAAAATAGGAAGTCCTCCAGGATCAACACTAGTGGTCTCACTGGCGGTTTGGGTCATACAAATGTGTACAGCAAAACTGAAATGATCAGCAATTGTTCATGATGGAAAGGGGTCAATACATTCCTTTACTGACCATGAATAACTATCAGAAATTGAACTTCCTAATATAAAATTGTATTTTTTTAAATGTTCATAATGTTTTACAAAGCTTTATAAAACTTTCTTAAAAGTAATCATGAAATCTAAAAACCATGGCTAATTCTTATTCAGTTTTTAAATTGAAACTAAACTATCAAAACCTTTATGAAACATCTCTAAAACCTCCATCTGGATTGTACAGGGTGAAGCAAAAGGAGGTTTACAGTTATTTGTATGGAAAATCATACAATAATTCACTAATACAAGAATAAACTGTTTTACATAGAACTGTAAACCTACTTTTGTCCCATCTTGTGTATCTTTTTTGTGCTCTTATGGTTCTATAAGGTAGATTGTAAACTTCATGAGAGTAAAAACTTCATCTTCTTCATTACTGTATCCTTACCATGTAGAACAAGGCACACAGGAGGCTGGATAAATGAGTGGATGGTTGCTATTCTTTGATATGCTCAGTTTCTCCCTCCTTCTTCTGCCCTGCTCTGCTCCCCACAACAGGGGCTAGAACAATCATAATACTTATACGTCTTACGCAGAATGATTATGGTCTAGGGATAAGTGGATGTCCCAACCTGAAACAACTGGACCTTCTCTCCAGAAAATCTGCACCTTGACCAGGGACACAGAAAGAAACAAGGCATGTAGAGCTGAGGCATTTGCTGAAAGCACTGCAGGTGAGTGTTGATGAGTTCCTGCTTCGGAGATCCGAGGCTCCTGGTTCTGGTTCTTCCAAAGACTTGGGTTTTTGGGTTGTTGTTTTTTACAACTCTTCTATCCAGGCTAGAATCATTTTAATTAATTCACTTTTGGTCCCAGTAGATTATGTTTCTTGCAAACTAAAGTATCTAATCACGTAACCAAAGTGTTAAGGTTTTCTCCACTGTCTTCTTTTTTTCTTTTTAAAAACAAATCATCTTAAGATGATTTTAAAGTTCATAATGGCTTTGGAGTGTGTTTATAAAATTCCATGTTTGTGTATTTTATTGCAGGAGTGTGTCAGGGATGGCATGATATACCATATTTTTTCTCTCAACACTTTTGTCATCAGATGAAAAATGAGAACTTCTGAGAGTACATTTCCTCCTTTTTCTTTTCTTCAGAGGAAGGGGAACGGGAACTCCTGCTGCATTCCCCAGGAGTGAGCAATGTGGGTTAAAATACTTAAACTCCCCATTTTGGCCTCAAGCCCAACCTGCAATCTCTAATCCAACTTTACCTTTAATAAAGCGGGTATTTTGATCCCATTTGGCTCAGTTCTTAGTGTTTTTATTAAACAAACCCTGGAACAAAAGAAGGGTTAGTGGTAAGATCCAGATACCAAGTCTCATCTTGAAAATCCAATGATAACAAACCTAGATCAACAAAGGTAAAAAATCAAATGAGATTCTTTCATGAGTACACATCCAATAATAGGGTATCCCAAACAGTAGAAAGTTCAAAGAAAATGCAATAAGCTAACTCTTCATTCCCTATACAGAGAGTAACCATGTCCTCTGGATGGTAAATATAGACTCTCAGACTCTGGATCATCACATGATTACAAATGAAGATGTTAATGCAGCGGTTCTCAACCTGTGGGTCGCGACCCCTTTGACGGTCGAATGACCCTTTCACAGGGTCGACTAAGACCATCCTGCATATCAGATATTTACATTACGGTTCATAACAGTAGCAACATTACAGTTATGAAGTAGCAACGAAAATAATTTTATGGTTGGGTCACAACATGAGGAACTGTTTTTAAAGGGCCAGAAGGTTGAGAACCACTGTGTTAATGGAAGAGGCAGGAAAATCCTCTTAAATTTTTTTGTGGAGGGAGAATTACTACAGAAAACTTAAGATAAAAATCGGTTAAAAAAACAAAGTTATTTTCACTAGTAAAAGTCAGTGATAAATAATTATAATTTATGCACCATTTGTTTCAATGGTTCAGGTGGCGTATAGTGAGGAAATGCACCAAAAAAATTGAGCTAAAAGCAAATGAGAAGTGACTCAAAGCTATGGGGAAAGAAGAAAGTTGTACTAGAAATCTTTAATAAGGGAGATTCAGCCTTAAATATTATATTAAGCTATAGATGCTTTCTGGAAAGAGATCTTACCAGTTTTTCCCCCCAGTAAATTCCTGGCATTGAGTCCCTAAGGGATTTGCTACCTGGATCCTTTGCAAATTCAATGAATAGGAAAAAAAGTCCTCAATGAAAAAGTTAAAAAAAAAAAAAAAGAAAGAAATTCTTCATGCATTAAATAATGAATCTCTAATAACGACATGCCTTTTTGTATAACAGTAGATGAGTGAAAATTTCTTGATATAACTAAGATAAACAGTTTAGGTATATTATATTACAGTAATTCTACTAGATTTGGTATGGATTTTAGGAAATCTAAAGAACACATGCGTAGTGCACTCCTTAAACGTTCTCAAGTGCCTATTGCCTTAGTCTCGATACTGGCAGGTACAAACAGTAATTATCTCAGAATTGAGACACATGGACAAACGTGGAGTGCAAATGTTTTCCAGGAATGTTGAGGTAATATTAGCAAATTTAATTTAACACACAGATAACCTTTTTAAAAAATATATATTTGTATTGATTTCAGAGAGGAAGAGAGAGGGAGATAGAAACATCAATGATAAGAGAATCATTGATCGGCTGCCTCCTGCACGCCCCCTACTGGGGATCGAGCCTGCAGCCTGGGTATGTGCCCTTGACTGGAATCAAACCTGGAAACCTTCAGTCCCCAGGCCAACGCTCTATCCACTGAGCAAAATGGGCTAGGGCCACACAGATAACTTTTCTACTCTGAAAAGCAAAATAGTCTAACTTGGGATTATTGCTCAAATAAAAGCCATTCTATCTACACAAGAAAGTAACTGATATTGGTTCTGCTAGGCAGAGATAAAAATAGGTTTGTCTCAGTGGATAAAATGTTGGCCTGTGAACCTAAGGGTCCCGGGTTCAATTCTGGTCAAGGGCATGTAACTCGGTTGCAGGCTCCTTCCCCAGCTCGGGCCCTGGTCAGGGCACATGTAAGAGGCAACCAATCTATGTGTTTCTCTCACATCCAATATTTCTCTCTGTCTTTCCCTCTCCCACTCTCTCTAAAAACCAATGGAAAAATAACCTCAGGTGAGGATTTTAAAAAATTCCATAAAAAGAGACAATTTTAATCTTTCTGGATACCTTTATAGGCAATTCAGTAAAAAGGCAGGGAATTTAGTAAATTATGGAACAATTATTTCAGCATCCCCCAGTTCAGAGAGAGAAGACTGAACTAACACTTAATGGAATATCAACTATATACCAACCACTGTGCAAGGCATTTTATACATGTTTTAACAGTTAATTCTCACAAATTATGCAACTGTTAATATTAATACTGTTTTACAAATGACTTAGTTATTCTGAACTGCAATTAACTTATCAAGGTCATACAGATAAGTGGCCAAAACAGGATGCAAATTTATTTCTGACTATAAAACCCAATTTTCCCTAAGGACAACTAACCACCTCAACCATACTTGGCCACCTCAACCATAAATTAACCTCATACAGCTCCACTGAAAATCTAATTTGTGTACTTTTCAGCAGTCTTCTAATAAATTAATTATAAGATAAATCCAGAGTACTTAATTTAGAACTTTAGTATGTTTAGTTGAATACTAAAGAATCTGCCAAAAAACCATTTTAGTTTCAGTGTAGTTAATGGTATTCCTATGTTACATACTATTTTAATGGTAATGAATTAGCTGTCTCATGCTCATATTGATGACAGAAAACTATGTTGTCATTACAAAGGAAGAAACTCTTCCACCTATTTTTAATGATAATTATGCACAAACATATACACACATATAAATTTCAAGAGGAATTTCATCAATTCAACATTTACTCACTTTGTAATTTATTAAGATAACTTGAGGCCTGGTGCACGATCCTGGTTGGGGGATTGGGCCGAAACCGGCAGTCTGACATCTCCCAAGGGGTCCTGGATTGCAAAAGGGCACAGGCCAGGCCAAGGGACCCCACGGGTGCACCAATCTGTGCATCGGGCCAGTTTCAGCCCAATCCCCACAGGCCAGGCCGAGGGACCCCACTGGTGCACGAATCCGTGCACTGGGCCTCTAGTATGCATATAAGATCTGTCGTTATTCTCTTCCCGCCCTTCCCCCTCCCCCCTTCCTTCCAAGATTCACCAGTCTGTTCCATGTTTCCATGCCTGTGCATTGAGCATCTACCCCCTCGTGGTCAGTATGCATCATGTGAACGGTTGAACGGCCGCTTAGGCTTTTATATATATAGATTATACTGCTTAATTCATATTAACTAAAGGCTGCTGATAAATAAAATCTTACATCATCCTTAATTGATTTCTTAGTGAGATAAAGTAATTTAAGTTACTAGTACAGAAATGCTAAAATGCACCTGTTCCACATGCAAACTTTTAGAGATTTAACCCTGTAATTTGATAAGAAAACTGGGTTGCAATGAAAGAAATAGGATAAGAATACCATTTAGAAAAAGAAGCACATCACTTGTTTCGTCAGATGTAGTATACTGTTAATTCTGAAGAGGTAATTAGAAGAATTTGGCAGGGATTGGGACCTATTTCTCAGGATGTAATTTAAACAATTTCAAATTGCAAACTTAAGATTATTTTTTGGTGAAAATAAAGTAAAATAGAAATCAGTAGCTGAATAAATGTGTATTATAGACAAAGTTGTTCTTTACACCTACACAATGGTAAGATTTATTTTTTTAATTCATAGCACCTAACTGAAATATTAACAAATGATTAATGACAAAATGCTTTACATACCTCCAACAAAAAGATCAATTCCTCCAGCTTCTTTTATTTTATCTTCAAATGCATCACATTCTGCTTGTAAATCTGCAGCATTCCCATCAAGGATATGAGCATTATTAGGATCTATATCAATATGCTTAAAAAAGTTATTCCACATGTAAGAATGGTAGCTTTCAGGATGCTGTCTGGGAAGTCCTAAATATAAAGATAATAAATAAAAATGTAATCATTTTCAGAAATAAATCTAAAATCTACTTTTCTGATTAAGCTCTAAATTCGACTTAAAATACATAATCTTTCTATACCATATTCAATTTTAAAGCATTTTTATGTGGAAAATATGCTAGGCATTATTTTAACCACTGTACATACATTTGTTAAATCAATTAATTTGTATATCTATGGAAATATTATCACTCCCATTTTACAGATGAACAACAGAAGCACAGAAAAGTTAAATAACTTTCTTAAAGTCACATAGCTCACAGAAGAGCTGGAATTCAAACACGGAAGTCTACTTCATGTGCATTTAGCCATTATACTCCATTTCTCAAATATGTAAATTTAAAATATATTTTTATTGATTTCAGAGAGGAAGGGAAAGGGGAGAGATAGAAACATTAATGATGAGATAGAATTATTGACTGGCTGCCTCCTGCTTGCCCACACTGGAGATCGAGCCTGCAACCTGGGCATGTGCTCTTGACCAGAATCAAACCTGGGACCCTTTAGTCCACAGGCTGACACTCTATCCACTGAGCCAAACCAGCGAGGGCTCAAATATGTAAAATTTTAACTAATGGAATTGATTTATGTGTTAATATCAACATTAATTAATTAACCATACACCTAAAATGTTGGTCCATGTTCCTCCTGTATTCTTTTTATATGCCTGCAAAGTACATTGAATCACAACAGTTCTTTGGCTATCACTTAGGCTACCATTAAAAGTATTTTATTATATTTAAACTAGAGGCCCGGTGCTTAGGCCCGCTCCCCGGGGGGTGGGCCTAAGTGGGCAGGTGAACATCCCCCAAAAAGTCCTTAGTGCTGCCACAGAGGCCTGAGAGGCTCCAGCCATCGCTGCTGCACTCACCAGCCATGAGCCAGGCTTCTGGCTGAGTGGTGCTCCCCATGGGAGCACACTGACCACTAGGGGGCAGCTCCTGCATTATATGCATCACAGATCTTTCTAGTGAAGCAAGTTAACAGTCAATAAATTATAAAAGCATTATAGCTACAAATATAAATAGCTTTACACTTAGAAAATCTTTATTTTACTAACTTTTACATACATGTTACTTTATTCCTCAAAAGACTGGTTTTAACTTTGCTTTAAGGAAAAATACAAAAGAGAATGAGAAATATGAAGAGATTAGATCAAAGTTATAAGACTGGTACACTGCAAAGCCCAAGATGAATACAGATCTTCTGATTTCTAGTCCCATATTCCTTCTACTATATTGTGCTGTTATCGCAAAAATAGAGTTTTTTTTATAATAAACTCCCAACCTCATCACAAGGCTATACATTATATTCTAGAAATATATTCATACTATATTAAAAACAAAATTTCAAATAATATATTAAATATTCTCAAAATATAGTCATTTTATTTAATATATACTATATATGACATATACAAGTAATACATTCAAATAATATAGCTTACCTACATATTCATCCATGTTAAAGGTCTTCACATATTTAAAAGAAAGGAATCCATTCTTGTGATATTCTATTAATTTTTTATAACATCCTAATGGTGTACTCCCTAAAATAGATAAAATATACACTTTCTAACATAACATAAAAATCTAATTTAAATATTTACAATAACTTTACCCTATATTTCTTATTTATCAGGCAAACAATTATTATTTTCAATGTGTATCCAATTAAAATATGTTGAATTAGTCTCTTTTCAAGGTACTTTGAAATTTTACTAAACTAGAATTTGCTGATAAAGTTGGAAATCTGTCAATGAAAACTATAGTTCTGAAAATTATTCTTGAGTTGTTAGGTATTTGGAATTAATGTTGTATGTTCCAAGATTAGAAACTTTTAGAGAACACATTTGAATCTTTTAACTTAATTTACCTTTGGAGAAAAAAAGTTGAGAGGATTTGTAGCATAAATGATACATAAATGGATCAAGTATTGATCAAGTATTGCAATCAAAAGGAAAATGAAAGATAAATTTAAATATTGTCCCTACTTTCAAAATAGACTCTGAAACTGGCCAGGATTGAGTAAGGAACCTTAGCCTTTAAGTTTTTAACTGGAGCTCCTGTTTCTCATTTGTTATCATGCGTTAGCTTCAGTATCTATCAACTAAATGTATAATGTAAAATGACTTCTAAGAAATGGGATCTTGGCTTTGGGCACTTCATCTGAATTCCTGATTTAATTTATAAATGTAATTCTTTCACATGTTTTATAAAATTAAGAGATAGTCCTGTAAGATATGGTACAATAAAGATAAATGAATTTAGCCACTTGAGGATGGCTTCCCGTTTCTGAATCTGCTCTAGTTTGTCATCTCAACTACTAACTGGGAGATTAGATTGCCTGCATTCTTAGAGCAAGCATCTTGGTCCTCCCATCATCACAAAACAAAACACCTGCACACAACATTCCTACTGACGTGGCAGGCAGACATATGATAGAACTCTCTGCAAATATACATACACACATACACACACACACACACACACACACACACACACACATTCTAGAATAGTAAAAAGACTGTCTCTCAGTTGAGATGACAATAACAGAAGTGCCTATAAATAATAATTATGATATAGACAGATTCAGAGAACAGAAGACTATTAGATTTTCTTAAAGTTAAGCATACATATTGTTTTAAAATGCAATTAATAATTTAAAATTTATGTGGTCAAATTTTACAATTCCTTCTCAAAGATTTATAGCCTACTAATATAAAACCTGACTAAAAAATGAATGAATATGTTTTTTCTTTTTCCTTCTAAAAGCATACATATTCTATCTTTCATTGTTAAGGGAATAGTTATAGAAATCCCTCCTTAATTTAAGGATATATAAATAAAAAGGTGAAAAGTTGTCACAATGGTAATAACAAAAAACATACATTTTCTATGTTTTAATCAAAGTGGCTGAAAGATATGGTACAGGGTGTATTGATGAAATAAAATTCATTTTATTATTTGCTTTACTCATTTACTAACATAACTTTTAGCAAGTGCTTACTATAATTCTGATAAAACAAAGATTAAGACTACTTCTATCTTAACCCGGTTGGTGTTGTCAATGGTTGAGCATCTACCCATGAACCAAGAAGTCACTGGTTTGATTCCAGGTCAGGGCATATGCCTGGATTGCGGGTTCAATCCCAGTAGGGGCCATGCAGAAGGCAACCTATCGATGATGTTTCTCTCATTGATGTTTCTATCTCTCTATCCCTCTCCCTTCCACTCTCTCTAAAAAATAAAAAACATTTTTTTAAAAAAAGACTATTTCTATCCTAGAAGAACTAAAAAGGGATAGACAAGTACAAAATAACCGTAACACAAGGCAAAATATTATAAATAACCTATAAGAAACCCAGAGAACTATAGTAAAGCCAAGACTATAGTCTTGCTTGTTGGAGGAAAGATCAGAGAAAATGGCATTTCAACTGAGTCTTGAAGGAGTAGCATTCCAACAGTGGAAGATGGGGTAAGTTGTAATTGAGAATTAACAAAAAAGATGGGGGAGGAGTTTCAGAGATGACATTTGTATGCCTACCATGTGCTAGATGCAATGCTAGTGTTTTCATACATTAACTCATGCAAATCTCACAACCTTGGGACGTTGGCATTATCTTTCCCATTATGAAGAGGAAAGAATTGGGTCAAAATGATTAAAGATTTTGCCAAATATCACCTGGCGGTGAAGCCAGAGATTCAAGAGACTCTGGTTCCAGAGTTTTCATTATATAACATGAGTGAAAATAAAGTCAGCACATTCAAGACTATTCTTTGAACTAAGAGCAGACTAATTTGCCGGTCACGATTCAGTGTAGGGGAATGGTGGAAATAAGTCAGGAAAGTAGGTCAGGCCCACAGCATACAGGCCCTTAAATATCAAACTTGCTAAAAATCACTTCAATAAATACATATTGAGCAGAAATTATGCTTCCTTAGGGGATAATTACAATACATCGTGTTACTTGCAATTACAGAAATGTATGTTCAAATTTCAAAAACACAGGGGCTGGGGCAGATGTATTAGTAGGTAGGTATACTACCCAAAATAAAGTGCAAGTTGTATATCTAAATACACAAAAATATGTTTAGCACTGTTGGCATTTATGACTCTGAAGCCTTTTGGCCCTCACACTCAAATTACTGTTTATTTCTGTATCATAATTAAGACAGAGTAATTGAGTTAGCTAGCCTGAATGTAGCCCAGGTTTACAATATGAACACTGATACAAAAGCCATGGTTCAACCACTGGGGCTCAGATATCAAAACTGCAATGGCTGAGGGGCCCAGCACTGGTGTGTACAAATTTAGAAAATCTCTCTCTGCCATTCTCATCAAGATCTACTGCACTGGACCAAAAAACAAAAAGCAAAACAACAGACAAAAAAAAAAAAAAAATCAACTTGGTGAGCTAAAGGGTAACTTTCATAGAAATTATGCAAGTGGGAAATATATTATGATTGTATCTTTTATGTAGTTGGCATGTATGGGGGGGAGCAGGAAGAGAATATACTGTCTAAATAAAACACACTTAAGGAACTTTATTTAGTATTTACAGTATACAAGGACTTGCGCAAGCATGCTTATTTGAGCCCCGAAACAGATGGTAAATTGTTATTATCCTTATCTTTCTATAAGGTAAGGAAATCGAGGCTTAGGGATATAGAGCAAATGCCTTGCAGTAACCAAGAAAGTAGCAGCTCTGATTCCAAGTCCAATACTCTCTCCTTGGGAAGTCTATAATATCAAATAGAGTGTCACAAGATCAATGTCACTGCTTGGTTATTTTTAAAGAAAACCTTAACAGAGAACTAAATCCAATAAAATATGTAACAAATGCTTGTTTATCCTGCCATGAAAATATACCAATATGCAATTTTTATAATACTTATATAATAGAAAGAAAATAAACACAGATTCAGTTAAACATATTGTAGTAAAGGAAACCCTTCAATCTCATAACCTAAGTTTCTAAAATGGGGGGGAAATGGTGTATTACCTGTTGGTAAACCCAGTGTAAAATATCTGTCCTTTCCAGGTTTGAACTGAATGATGCGATTACAGATGTATTTGGCTGCCCATTCACTAGCCAAGTCATAGTTATCAAGAATTACAAGCCTCATTATGGTGATGCACAGCTTCCAGGACAAGTTCAAATCTAGAAAATCCATTTAGAACACTTTAATTTACAGACACTTAAATAGACGTGCAACATACTGATGACTTCAAAAAAGACATTACTTAAGAAAGACATGTATTATACAAATACAATCTGTACTTTCTTTTCTATTTTCTATCACCATTAATCCCCTCTATGCCCTCTTCCACCTCCACCACCTTCACTCCAACCCAGCCCTATCTCCGACCCCCTAGAACAGTGATGGCGAACCTTTTGAGCTCGGCGTGTCAGCATTTTGAAAAACCCTAACTTAACTCTGGTGCCGTGTCACATATAGAAATTTTTTGATATTTGCAACCATAGTAAAACAAAGACTTATATTTTTGATATTTATTTTATATATTTAAATGCCATTTAACAAAGAAAAATCAACCAAAAAAATGAGTTCGCGAGTCACCTCTGACACGCATGTCAGGTTCGCCATCACTGCCCTAGAATCACCACACTGTTGTCCATATCCATGAGTTCTCTTTTTAGCTCACCCCCTCCCCCAAAACACTGACCCCCTTCCCCCAGAGCTGTCTGCTTGCTCTCTATGAGTCTGTCTCTGTTTTGCTTGGTAGTTGTTTGTTCATTGTTGCAGATATGAACAAAATTATATGGTATTTGCTTTCTTTGACTGGCTTATTTCACTTAGCATAATGTATAATGTTCTCCAGGTCCATCTATGCTGTGGTACATTTACTAGTACAATCTGTACTTTTAAAATAATAATAATAGCTGTTCTCTTTTGAACAGACCTTGGTTTCTGGGCAATGGGCTAGGTTCGTGGTTGGCAAAGTGCGGCTCTTCGGCCCCTTGAGTGTGGCTCTTCCTAAGCCTTAGGAGTACCCTAATTAAGTTAATAACAATGTACCTACCTGTATATTTAAGTTAAAAAATTGGCTCTCAAAAGGAATTTTCAATTCGTTGTCCTGTTGATATTTGGATTCTTTTAACTAATGAAGTTTGTGGACCACTGGGCTAGGTATATACTAATTTTTTACAAACAATCTGCTAAAATAAAATATAATGCCTAGTCTTAGATGAGGACAGACACTCACACAATTTAAGGTCACATAATTACTAAAAAACAAAGACCAGAATTCATATCAAGGCAAAATTTACAAATGAAGACACCACACTGCACTCACTATCTCTACAAGGATATTGTATAAATCAACATACACCTAAAGGCAAACAAAGCAGTATAGTACTCGTTTCTTGACTGCAAGTTAATGGTAGTGATGATTACTTAGCAACTTTTGGATTATTTACTAAAAATCCAGAATTCTCTCTATAAATAATGTAAAAAACAAACCTCCCTTTATTAAATAATGTTCTTATAGAAATGATACCTGCACTTTTAAAAAATTCAATCAATATAGAAAGGTACAAATAAGTTTTAAAAAATCAACCAAAATCCTACCACTCTTAAATAATTCTAATATTATTAGGTATACATTATTCTAGATATGTATGTAATGCACACATATAAATAGAATGTATACAAATAATTTTTAATAATGGGATCATACAAGACATACTATTTTTTGAGTATTTAAAGATACTTTTATTTGAGATAATTTTTTCATTTTTTTAAATTAAATATATTGGGATAATATTGCTTAATAAGATTATATAGGTTCTGACATACTATTTTTAATAAAAATCATAACACTAAATTTTTCCTGCATTCAACAAAAGAAAAAGAAAACAAAATGAACTAAAGAAACTGCTGATCTTTGGGGGAAATTTTTTCTTCACAAAAAGCAATTTCAGTTCCTAAAAGAATAAAGTTAAGAAAAAACATTACACAAATATTAAAAGAGCAGTGTCATTTAAAAGCTATATGATCCCATTTTAGACAATGTGGACTGACCTACAATTATTAAACAGGAAATTACATTCTTACACTTTCTTACATCCTGATTTCTGTAAGATGTATTATTTTTGTATTGTCAAGATTTACAACATTTACACTATGACTACAGTTTCCAGATTTTAATTCGTAGTTGTATATTTCCACAATTCCAGATTTTAACTTAGTTTTATACTTAGAAACTACTTCAGCAGCAGTCCTGAATTCTGTACCCACACACTTTTACATACATAACAAGTCAAATTCTTTAATGGAAGTAGATTTCATTACAATAAATAGATGGAACCTAAAAGATGTCTTTAGGACCAAAACAATTTATAATTCTGGCATAACAACTACTATGACCACCAACATCTAGAATTCTGGCACAGTAAGAGGTAAATCGCATTTGCTTGTTAAAAATATAGATTCCCAGGCCCCTCTCACTAGACAGTATTTCAGAAATGGGGTCCCAGGGAATCCGCATTTCTACAAATATCACAGGTGATTCTTACTATTGCGTTAAATTGGGGGGAAAACACGCCATACAAGATGACTGCATTGGAAAGAGGTTCAAGCAAGTCTCTCAGATCAGGTCCAGGCAGGCTGGTCTGTTTTTGG